GGGGCAGCAGCAGGGGCAGGGGCAGCAGGGGCAGCAGGGGCAGCAGCAGGGGCAGCAGCAGGGGCAGGGGCAGCAGGGGCAGCAGCAGCAGGGGCAGCAGCAGGGGCAGCAGCAGCAGGGGCAGCAGGGGCAGCAGCAGGGGCAGCAGCAGGGGCAGGGGCAGCAGGGGCAGCAGCAGCAGGGGCAGCAGGGGCAGCAGCAGCAGGGGCAGGGGCAGCAGCAGCAGGGGCAGCAGGGGCAGCAGCAGCAGGGGCAGGGGCAGCAGCAGCAGCAGGGGCAGCAGCAGCAGCAGCAGTAGGGGCAGGGCAGCAGCAGGGGCAGCAGCAGCAGGGGCAGCAGGGGCAGGGGCAGCAGCAGCAGGGGCAGCAGCAGCAGGGGCAGCAGCTGACACCGCTGGGACACTGAGACACTGGGACCCTGTGAGGCTGAGACACTGGGACACTGGGACACTGAGACACTGGGACACTGAGACACTGGGACACTGAGACACTGGGACACTGAGACACTGGGACACTGAGACACTGGGACACTGGGACACTGAGACACTGAGACACTGGGACACTGAGACACTGGGACACTGGGACACTGAGACACTGAGACACTGAGACACTGGGACACTGAGACACTGAGACACTGAGAGACTGAGAGACTGAGACACTGGGACACTGAGACACTGAGACACTGGGACACTGAGACACTGAGACACTGGGACACTGAGAGGCTGAGACACTGAGACACTGGGACACTGGGACACTGGGACACTGAGATACTGGGACACTGAGACACTGGGACACTGAGACACTGGGACACTGAGACACTGGGACACTGGGACACTGAGACACTGGGACACTAAGACACTGGGACACTGAGACACTGAGACACTGGGACACTGAGAGGCTGAGACACTGAGACACTGAGACACTGGGAGGCTGGGACACTGGGACACTGAGACACTGGGACACTGAGACACTGAGACACTGGGACACTGAGACACTGAGACACTGGGACACTGAGACACTGAGACACTGGGAGGCTGGGACACTGGGACACTGGGAGACTGGGACACTGGGACACTGGGACACTGAGACACTGGGACACTGAGACACTGGGACACTGAGACACTGGGACACTGAGACACTGGGACACTGAGACACTGGGACACTGGGACACTGAGACACTGAGATACTGGGACACTGAGACACTGGGACACTGGGACACTGAGACACTGAGACACTGAGACACTGGGACACTGAGACACTGAGACACTGAGAGACTGAGAGACTGAGACACTGGGACACTGGGACACTGAGACACTGAGACACTGGGACACTGAGACACTGAGACACTGGGACACTGAGAGGCTGAGACACTGAGACACTGGGACACTGGGACACTGGGACACTGAGATACTGGGACACTGAGACACTGGGACACTGAGACACTGGGACACTGAGACACTGGGACACTGGGACACTGAGACACTGGGACACTAAGACACTGGGACACTGAGACACTGAGACACTGGGACACTGAGACACTGAGACACTGAGACACTGGGACACTGAGATACTGGGAGGCTGAGACACTGAGACACTGGGAGGCTGGGACACTGAGACACTGAGACACTGGGACACTGGGACACTGAGACACTGGGACACTGGGACACTGGGACACTGGGACACTGAGACACTGGGACACTGAGACACTGGGACACTGGGACACTGAGACACTGGGACACTGAGACACTGGGACACTGTGAGGCTGGGACACTGAGACACTGAGACACTGGGACACTGGGACACTGAGACACTGGGAGGCTGGGACACTGGGACACTGGGAGACTGGGAGGCTGGGACACTGAGACACTGAGACAGACACTGGGACACTGGGACACTGAGACACTGGGACACTGAGATACTGAGATACTGAGACACTGAGACACCGAGACACTGGGACACTGAGACACTGGGACACTGAGACCCTGAGACACTGAGACAATGAGACACTGGGACACTGGGACACTGAGACACTGGGACACTGAGACACTGGGACACTGAGATACTGAGATACTGAGACACTGAGACACCGAGACACTGGGACACTGAGACACTGGGACACTGAGACACTGAGACACTGGGACACTGAGAGGCTGAGACACTGGGACACTGAGACACTGGGACACTGGGACACTGAGACACTGGGACACTAAGACACTGGGGCACTGAGACACTGAGACACTGAGACACTGAGACACTGGGACACTGAGAGGCTGAGACACTGAGACACTGGGAGGCTGGGACACTGAGACACTGGGACACTGAGACACTGAGACACTGGGACACTGAGACACTGAGACACTGGGACACTGAGACACTGAGACACTGGGAGGCTGGGACACTGGGACACTGGGAGACTGGGAGGCTGGGACACTGAGAGGCTGAGACACTGGGACACTGAGACACTGAGACACTGGGACACTGGGACACTGAGACACTGGGACACTGAGACACTGAGACACTGGGACACTGAGACACTGGGACACTGGGACACTGAGACACTGGGACACTGAGACACTGGGACACTGTGAGGCTGGGACACTGAGACACTGAGACACTGGGACACTGGGACACTGAGACACTGGGAGGCTGGGACACTGGGACACTGGGAGACTGGGAGGCTGGGACACTGAGACACTGAGACAGACACTGGGACACTGGGACACTGAGACACTGGGACACTGAGATACTGAGATACTGAGACACTGAGACACCGAGACACTGGGACACTGAGACACTGGTACACTGAGACCCTGAGACACTGAGACAATGAGACACTGGGACACTGGGACACTGAGAGGCTGAGACACTGAGACACTGAGACACTGGGACACTGGGACACTGGGACACTGAGATACTGGGACACTGAGACACTGGGACACTGGGACACTGAGACACTGAGACACTGGGACACTGAGACACTGGGACACTGAGACACTGGGACACTGGGACACTGAGACACTGAGACACTGGGACACTGAGACACTGAGACACTGGGACACTGAGACACTGAGACACTGGGACACTGAGACACTGGGACACTGGGACACTGAGACACTGGGACACTAAGACACTGGGACACTGAGACACTGAGACACTGGGACACTGAGACACTGAGACACTGAGACACTGGGACACTGAGAGGCTGAGACACTGAGACACTGAGACACTGGGAGGCTGGGACACTGGGACACTGAGACACTGGGACACTGAGACACTGAGACACTGGGACACTGAGACACTGAGACACTGGGACACTGAGACACTGAGACACTGGGAGGCTGGGACACTGGGACACTGAGACACTGGGACACTGAGACACTGGGACACTGAGACACTGGGACACTGGGACACTGAGACACTGGGACACTGGGACACTGAGACACTGGGACACTGAGACACTGGGACACTGGGACACTGGGACACTGAGACACTGAGACACTGAGACACTGAGACACTGGGACACTGAGACACTGGGACACTGTGAGGCTGGGACACTGAGACACTGAGACACTGGGACACTGGGACACTGAGACACTGGGAGGCTGGGACACTGAGACACTGAGAGACTGGGACACTGAGAGACTGAGACACTGAGACACTGAGACACTGGGACACTGGGAGACTGGGAGGCTGGGACACTGAGACACTGAGACAGACACTGGGACACTGGGACACTGAGACACTGAGACACTGGGACACTGAGAGACTGAGACACTGAGACACTGGGACACTGAGACACTGAGACACTGAGACACTGAGACACTGAGACACCGAGACACTGGGACACTGGGACACTGAGACACTGGGACACTGAGACACTGAGACACTGAGACAATGAGACACTGGGACACTGGGACACTGAGACACTGGGACACTGAGACACTGAGACACTGGGACACTGGGACACTGAGACACTGGGACACTGAGACACTGGGACACTGAGATACTGAGATACTGAGACACTGAGACACCGAGACACTGGGACACTGGGACACTGAGACCCTGAGACACTGGGACACTGGGACACTGAGACCCTGAGACACTGAGACAATGAGACACTGGGACACTGGGACACTGAGACACTGAGACACCGAGACACTGGGACACTGAGACACTGGGACACTGAGACACTGAGACACTGGGACACTGAGACACTGGGACACTGAGAGGCTGAGACACTGGGACACTGAGACACTGATACACTGAGAGGCTGAGACACTGAGACACTGGGACACTGAGACACTGGGACACTGGGACACTGGGAGGCTGAGACACTGGGAGGCTGAGACACTGGGACACTGAGACACTGAGACACTGATACACTGAGAGGCTGAGACACTGAGACACTGAGAGGCTGGGACACTGGGACACTGAGACACTGAGACACTGGGACACTGGGACACTGAGACACTGGGACACTGAGATACTGAGACACGGGTGGACAGAGGAGCTGGGAGTACGAGCAAGAGTCTGGGTGGGTGAGTGGGTGGGTGAGTGGGTGAGTGGGTGGGTGGGTGAGTGGGTGGGTGAGTGGGTGGGGGAGTGGGTGAGTGAGTGGGTGGGTGAGTGGGTGAGTGAGTGGATGAGTGAGTGAGTGGATGAGTGTTTGAGTGGGTGAGTGAGTGGGTGGGTGAGTGAGTGGATGAGTGAGTGAGTGGTTGAGTGAGTGAGTGAGTGGATGAGTGAGTGAGTGGATGAGTGAGTGAGTGGATGAGCGAGTGAGTGTGTGAGTGAGTGTGTGAGTGGATGAGTAAGTGGATGAGTGAGTGAGTGGATGAGTGAGTGAGTGAGTGGATGAGTGAGTGAGTGGATGAGCGAGTGAGTGGATGAGTGAGTGAGTGGATGAGCGAGTGAGTGGATGAGTGAGTGAGTGAGTGGATGAGTGAGTGAGTGAGTGGATGAGCGAGTGAGTGGATGAGCGAGGGGGCGAGCGTCTCTCACTTGGCGCTGCATGAACTTGAGGTTGATGCCCTCGAGAGTAACCTGAAGCAGCCCTCCCTCCCCGCTGCGCGCATCCTGAACGGGGAACTCTGCTCCCAGCTCCGGACCTGCATCGACAAAGACAAAGATCCCCCAGGTAGCCTCTAGCAGGGCTGTAGGGGCAAGTGCTGTGTGTAGTAGCAAGTAGCAGCAGCAGCACCTATACACAGACAAAGATCCCCCGTGTAGCCTCTAACAGGGCTGTAGGGGCAAGTGCTGTGTGTAGTAGCGAGTAGCAGCAGCACCTATACACAGATAAAGATCCCCCGTGTAGCCTCTAGCAGGGCTGTAGGGGCAAGTGCTGTTAGTAGCGAGTAGCAGCAGCACCTATACACAGACAAAGATCCCCCGTGTAGCCTCAACAGGGCTGTAGGGGCAAGTGCTGTGTGTAGTAGCGAGTAGCAGCAGCACCTATACACAGACAAAGATCCCCCGTGTAGCCTCTAGCAGGGCTGTAGGGGCAAGTGCTGTTAGTAGCGAGTAGCAGCAGCACCTATACACAGACAAAGATCCCCCGTGTAGTCTCTAGCAGGGCTGTAGGGGCAAGTGCTGTGTGTAGTAGCGAGTAGCAGCAGCACCTATACACAGACAAAGATCCCCCGTTTAGCCTCTAGCAGGGCTGTAGGGGCAAGTGCTGTTAGTAGCGAGTATTAGCAGCACCTATACACAGACAAAGATCCCCCGTGTAGCCTCTAGCAGGGCTGTAGGGGCAAGTGCTGTGTGTAGTAGCAAGTAGCAGCAGCACCTATACACAGACAAAGATCCCCCGTGTAGCCTCTAGCAGGGCTGTAGGGGCAAGTGCTGTGTGTAGTAGCGAGTAGCAGCAGCACCTATACACAGATAAAGATCCCCCGTGTAGCCTCTAGCAGGGCTGTAGGGGCAAGTGCTGTTAGTAGCGAGTAGCAGCAGCACCTATACACAGACAAAGATCCCCCGTGTAGCCTCTAACAGGGCTGTAGGGGCAAGTGCTGTGTGTAGTAGCGAGTAGCAGCAGCACCTATACACAGACAAAGATCCCCCGTGTAGCCTCTAGCAGGGCTGTAGGGGCAAGTGCTGTTAGTAGCGAGTAGCAGCAGCACCTATACACAGACAAAGATCCCCCGTGTAGCCTCTAAAAGGGCTGTAGGGGCAAGTGCTGTTAGTAGCGAGTAGCAGCAGCACCTATACACAGACAAAGATCCCCCGTGTAGTCTCTAACAGGGCTGTAGGGGCAAGTGCTGTTAGCGAGTAGCAGCACCTATACACAGACAAAGATCCCCCGTGTAGCCTCTAGCAGGGCTGTAGGGGCAAGTGCTGTTAGCAGCGAGTAGCAGCAGCACCTATACACAGACAAAGATCCCCCGTGTAGTCTCTAACAGGGCTGTAGGGGCAAGTGCTGTTAGCGAGTAGCAGCACCTATACACAGACAAAGATCCCCCGTGTAGCCTCTAGCAGGGCTGTAGGGGCAAGTGCTGTTCGTAGCAAGTAGCAGCAACAGCACCTATACACAGACAAAGATCCCCCGTGTAGCCTCTAGCAGGGCTGCAGGGGCAAGTGCTGTTGGTAGCGAGTAGCAGCAACACCTATACACAGACAAAGATCCCCCATGTAGCCTCTAGCAGGGCTGTAGGGGCAAGTGCTGTTAGTGAGTAGCAGCACCTATACACAGACAAAGATCCCCCGTGTAGCCTCTAGCAGGGCTGTAGGGGCAAGTGCTGTTAGTAGCGAGTAGCAGCAGCACCTATACACAGACAAAGATCCCCCGTGTAGCCTCTAGCAGGGCTGTAGGGGCAAGTGCTGTGTGTAGTAGCGAGTAGCAGCAGCACCTATACACAGACAAAGATCCCCCGTGTAGCCTCTAGCAGGGCTGTAGGGGCAAGTGCTGTTAGTAGCGAGTAGCAGCACCTATACACAGATAAAGCTCCCCCGTGTAGCCTCTAACAGACTGTTGGGGCAAGTGCTGTGTGTAGTAGCAAGTAGCAGCAGCACCTATACACAGACAAAGATCCCCCGTGTAGCCTCTAGCAGGGCTGTAGGGGCAAGTACTGTTAGTAGCGAGTAGCAGCACCTATACACAGATAAAGCTCCCCCGTGTAGCCTCTAACAGACTGTTGGGGCAAGTGCTGTGTGTAGTAGCAAGTAGCAGCAGCACCTATACACAGATAAAGCTCCCCCGTGTAGCCTCTAACAGACTGTTGGGGCAAGTGCTGTGTGTAGTAGCGAGTAGCAGCAGCACCTATACACAGACAAAGATCCCCCGTGTAGCCTCTAACAGGGCTGTAGGGGCAAGTGCTGTGTGTAGTAGCAAGTAGCAGCAGCAACACCTATACACAGACAAAGATCCTCCGTGTAGTCTCTAGCAGGGCTGTAGGGGCAAGTGCTGTTAGTAGCGAGTAGCAGCAGCACCTATACACAGACAAAGATCCCCCGTGTAGCCTCTAGCAGGGCTGTAGGGGCAAGTGCTGTGTGTAGTAGCGAGTAGCAGCGTCTGTGAAGACTACCGGCACTGTGGCACTCACAGAGGGGGTGGGTGGCCAGCACCACGCCCAGCCACCTTTGTCTCCCCCCCGTGTCTCCCCCCGCGTCTCCCCCGTGTCACCCCCGTGTCTCCCCCGTGTCTCCCCCGCGTCTCCCCTCGTGTCTCCCCCGTGTATCCACTCCTTGTCTCCCCCGTGTCTCCCCCGTGTCTCCCCCGTGTCTCCCCCGCGTCTCCCCCCGCGTCTCCCCCGCGTCTCCCCCCGTGTCTCCCCCCGTGTCTCCCCCCGTGTCTCCCCCCGTGTCTCCCCCGTGTCTCCCCCCGTGTCTCCCCCCGTGTCTCCCCCCGTGTCTCCCCCCGTGTCTCCCCCGTGTCTCCCCCCGTGTCTCCCCCCGTGTCTCCCCCCGTGTCTCCCCCCGTGTCTCCCCCTCCCGTGTCTCCCCCCGTGTCTCCCCCTCCCGTGTCTCCCCCGTGTCTCCCCCGTGTCTCCCCCGTGTCTCCCCCCGTGTCTCCCCCGTGTCTCCCCCCGTGTCTCCCCCGTGTCTCCCCCCCGTGTCTCCCCCGTGTCACCCCCGTGTCTCCCCCCGTGTCTCCCCCGTGTCTCCCCCCCGTGTCTCCCCCCCGTGTCTCCCCCGTGTCTCCCCCCGTGTCTCCCCCGTGTCTCCCCCCGTGTCTCCCCCGTGTCTCCCCCCGTGTCTCCCCCGTGTCTCCCCCCGTGTCTCCCCCGTGTCTCCCCCCCGTGTCTCCCCCCCGTGTCTCCCCCGTGTCTCCCCACGTGTCTCCCCCCGTGTCTCCCCCCCGTGTCTCCCCCCCGTGTCTCCCCCCGTGTCTCCCCCCGTGTCTCCCCCGTGTCTCCCCCGTGTCTCCCCCCCGTGTCTCCCCCCCGTGTCTCCCCCCCTTGTCTCCCCCCCGTGTCTCCCCCCGTGTCTCCCCCGTGTCTCCCCCGTGTCTCCCCACGTGTCTCCCCCGTGTCTCCCCCCGTGTCTCCCCCGTGTCTCCCCCGTGTCTCCCCGTGTCTCCCCCGTGTCTCCCCCGTGTCTCCCCCGTGTCTCCCCCCCGTGTCTCCCCCGTGTCTCCCCCGTGTCTCCCCGGTGTCTCCCCCGTGTTTCCCCCGTGTCTCCCCCGTGTCTCCCCCCGTGTCTCCCCGTGTCTCCCCGTGTCTCCCCCGTGTCTCCCCCGTGTCTCCCCCGTGTCTCCCCCGTGTCTCCCCCTCCCGTGTCTCCCCGTGTCTCCCCGTGTATCCCCCCGTGTCACCCCCGTGTCTCCCCCCGTGTCTCCCCCGTGTCTCCCCGTGTCTCCTCCGTGTCTCCCCCCGTGTCTCCCCCGTGTCTCCACCCGTGTCTCCCCGTGTCTCCCCCCGTGTCTCCCCCGTGTCTCCCCGTGTCTCCTCCGTGTCTCCCCCCGTGTCTCCCCCGTGTCTCCCCCCGTGTCTCCCCGTGTCTCCCCCCCGTGTCTCCCCCGTGTCTCCCCGTGTCTCCCCCCGTGTCTCCCCCGTGTCTCCCCCCGTGTCTCCCCGTGTCTCCCCGTGTCTCCCCCGTGTCTCCCCACGTGTCTCCCCAGTGTCTCCCCCGTGTCTCCCCGTGTCTCCCCGTGTCTCCCCCACGTGTCTCCCCACGTGTACCAGGCTTGATCCCGTGTCTCCCCCCGTGTCTCCCCGTGTCTCCCCGTGTCTCCCCGTGTCTCCCCCACGTGTCTCCCCGTGTCTCCCCGTGTCTCCCCCACGTGTCTCCCCGTGTCTCCCCGTGTCTCCCCGTGTCTCCCCCACGTGTCTCCCCGTGTCTCCCCGTGTCTCCCCGTGTCTCCCCCACGTGTCTCCCCACGTGTACCAGGCTTGATCCCATGTCTCCCCGTGTCTCCCCCGTGTCTCCCCGTGTCTCCCCGTGTCTCCCCGTGTCTCCCCGTGTCTCCCCGTGTCTCCCCGTGTCTCCCCGTGTCTCCCCGTGTCTCCCCCACGTGTCTCCCCCACGTGTCTCCCCGTGTCTCCCCCACGTGTCTCCCCACGTGTACCAGGCTTGATCCCGTGTCTCCCCCCGTGTCTCCCCGTGTCTCCCCGTGTCTCCCCGTGTCTCCCCGTGTCTCCCCCACGTGTCTCCCCCACGTGTCTCCCCGTGTCTCCCCCACGTGTCTCCCCACGTGTACCAGGCTTGATCCCGTGTCTCCCCCACGTGTCTCCCCGTGTCTCCCCCACGTGTCTCCCCACGTGTACCAGGCTTGATCCCGTGTCTCCCCCCGTGTCTCCCCGTGTCTCCCCGTGTCTCCCCGTGTCTCCCCGTGTCTCCCCGTGTCTCCCCCACGTGTCTCCCCCACGTGTCTCCCCGTGTCTCCCCCACGTGTCTCCCCACGTGTACCAGGCTTGATCCCGTGTCTCCCCCACGTGTCTCCCCGTGTCTCCCCCACGTGTCTCCCCGTGTCTCCCCCACGTGTCTCCCCACGTGTACCAGGCTTGATCCCGTGTCTCCCCCACGTGTCTCCCCGTGTCTCCCCCACGTGTCTCCCCCACGTGTCTCCCCACGTGTACCAGGCTTGATCCCGTGTCTCCCCCACGTGTCTCCCCGTGTCTCCCCCACGTGTCTCCCCGTGTCTCCCCCACGTGTCTCCCCACGTGTACCAGGCTTGATCCCGTGTCTCCCCGTGTCTCCCCGTGTCTCCCCCGTGTCTCCCCATGTCTCCCCACGTGTACCAGGCTTGATCCCGTGTCTCCCCCGTGTCTCCCCCGTGTCTCCCTGTGTCTCCCCGTGTCTCCCCGTGTCTCCCCGTGTCTCCCCGTGTCTCCCCCGTGTCTCCCCGTGTCTCCCCGTGTCTCCCCGTGTCTCCCCGTGTCTCCCCGTGTCTCCCCGTGTCTCCCCCACGTGTCTCCCCCACGTGTCTCCCCCACGTGTCTCCCCACGTGTACCAGGCTTGATCCCGTGTCTCCCCCACGTGTCTCCCCGTGTCTCCCCGTGTCTCCCCGTGTCTCCCCGTGTCTCCCCGTGTCTCCCCGTGTCTCCCCGTGTCTCCCCGTGTCTCCCCGTGTCTCCCCCACGTGTCTCCCCCACGTGTCTCCCCGTGTCTCCCCGTGTGTCTCCACGTGTCTCCCCACGTGTCTCCCCACGTGTACCAGGCTTGATCCCGTGTCTCCCCCACGTGTCTCCCCGTGACTCCCCGTATCTCCCCGTGTCTCCCCGTGTCTCCCCGTGTCTCCCCGTGTCTCCCCCACGTGTCTCCCCCACGTGTCTCCCCACGTGTACCAGGCTTGATCCCGTGTCTCCCCGTGTCTCCCCGTGTCTCCCCGTGTCTCCCCGTGTCTCCCCACGTGTCTCCCCGTGTCTCCCCGTGTCTCCCCGTGTCTCTCCCCGTGTCTCCCCGTGTCTCCCCCACGTGTCTCCCCGTGTCTCCCCGTGTCTCCACGTGTCTCCCCCCGTGTACCAGGCTTGATCCCGTGTCTCCCCCACGTGTCTCCCCGTGACTCCCCGTATCTCCCCGTGTCTCCCCGTGTCTCCCCGTGTCTCCCCGTGTCTCCCCCACGTGTCTCCCCCACGTGTCTCCCCACGTGTACCAGGCTTGATCCCGTGTCTCCCCGTGTCTCCCCGTGTCTCCCCGTGTCTCCCCACGTGTCTCCCCGTGTCTCCCCGTGTCTCCCCGTGTCTCCCCGTGTCTCCCCGTGTCTCCCCGTGTTTCCCCGTGTCTCCCCCACGTGTCTCCCCGTGTCTCCCCGTGTCTCCCCGTGTCTCCCCACGTGTCTCCCCACGTGTCTCCCCACGTGTACCAGGCTTGATCCCGTGTCTCCCCGTGTCTCCCCGTGTCTCCCCGTGTCTCCCCCACGTGTCTCCCCACGTGTCTCCCCACGTGTCTCCCCACGTGTACCAGGCTTGATCCCGTGTCTCCCCGTGTCTCCCCCGTCCCGTGTCTCCCCGTGTCTCCCCGTGTCTCCCCGTGTCTCCCCGTGTCTCCCCACGTGTCTCCACGTGTCTCCCCCACGTGTCTCCCCACGTGTACCAGGCTTGATCCCGTGTCTCCCCGTGTCTCCCCCGTCCCGTGTCTCCCCGTGTCTCCCCGTGTCTCCCCGTGTCTCCCCGTGTCTCCCCGTGTCTCCCCCACGTGTCTCCCCGTGTCTCCCCACGTGTCTCCCCGTGTCCCCACGTGTCTCCCCACGTGTACCAGGCTTGATCCCGTGTCTCCCCGTGTCTCCCCGTGTCCCCCACGTGTCCCCCACGTGTCTCCCCGTGTCTCCCCGTGTCTCCCCGTGTCTCCCCGTGTCTCCCCGTGTCTCCCCGTGTCTCCCCGTGTCTCCCCACGTGTCTCCCCACGTGTACCAGGCTTGATCCCGTGTCTCCCCGTGTCTCCCCGTGTCCCCCACGTGTCCCCCACGTGTCTCCCCGTGTCTCCCCGTGCCTCCCCGTGTCTCCCCGTGTCTCCCCCCGTGTCTCCCCGTGTCTCCCCGTGTCTCCCCGTGTCTCCCCGTGTCTCCCCACGTGTCTCCCCCACGTGTCTCCCCACGTGTACCAGGCTTGATCCCGTGTCTCCCCCACGTGTCTCCCCGTGTCTCCCACGTGTCTCCCCGTGTCTCCCCCACGTGTCTCCCCGTGTCTCCACGTGTCTCCCCGTGTCTCCCCACGTGTCTCCCCCACGTGTCTCCCCACGTGTACCAGGCTTGATCCCGTGTCTCCCCCACGTGTCTCCCCGTGTCTCCCACGTGTCTCCCCGTGTCTCCCCCACGTGTCTCCCCGTGTCTCCCCGTGTCTCCCCGTGTCTCCCCACGTGTCTCCCCACGTGTACCAGGCTTGATCCCGTGTCTCCCCGTGTCTCCCCGTGTCCCCCACGTGTCCCCCACGTGTCTCCCCGTGTCTCCCCGTGCCTCCCCGTGTCTCCCCGTGTCTCCCCCCGTGTCTCCCCGTGTCTCCCCGTGTCTCCCCGTGTCTCCCCGTGTCTCCCCACGTGTCTCCCCCACGTGTCTCCCCACGTGTACCAGGCTTGATCCCGTGTCTCCCCCACGTGTCTCCCCGTGTCTCCCACGTGTCTCCCCGGGTCTCCCCCACGTGTCTCCCCGTGTCTCCACGTGTCTCCCCGTGTCTCCCCACGTGTCTCCCCACGTGTCTCCCCCACGTGTCTCCCCACGTGTACCAGGCTTGATCCCGTGTCTCCCCGTGTCTCCCCGTGTCTCCCCGTGTCTCCCCGTGTCTCCACGTGTCTCCCCACGTGTCTCCCCACGTGTACCAGGCTTGATCCCGTGTCTCCCCCGTGTCTCCCCGTGTCTCCCCGTGTCTCCCCGTGTCTCCCCGTGTCTCCCCCACGTGTCTCCCCACGTGTACCAGGCTTGATCCCGTGTCTCCCCCACGTGTCTCCCCGTGTCTCCCCGTGTCTCCCCGTGTCTCCACGTGTCTCCCCCACGTGTCTCCCCACGTGTACCAGGCTTGATCCCGTGTCTCCCCCACGTGTCTCCCCGTGTCTCCCCGTGTCTCCCCGTGTCTCCACGTGTCTCCCCCACGTGTCTCCCCACGTGTACCAGGCTTGATCCCGTGTCTCCCCCACGTGTCTCCCCGTGTCTCCCCGTGTCTCCCCGTGTCTCCACGTGTCTCCCCCACGTGTCTCCCCACGTGTACCAGGCTTGATCCCGTGTCTCCCCCACGTGTCTCCCCGTGTCTCCCCGTGTCTCCCCGTGTCTCCACGTGTCTCCCCCACGTGTCTCCCCACGTGTACCAGGCTTGATCCCGTGTCTCCCCCACGTGTCTCCCCGTGACTCCCCGTGTCTCCCCGTGTCTCCCCGTGTCTCCCCGTGTCTCCCCGTGTCTCCCCCACGTGTCTCCCCGTGTCTCCCCGTGTCTCCCCGTGTCTCCCACGTGTCTCCCCACGTGTACCAGGCTTGATCCCGTGTCTCCCCCACGTGTCTCCCCGTGTCTCCCCGTGTCTCCCCGTGTCTCCCCGTGTCTCCCCCACGTGTCTCCCCACGTGTACCAGGCTTGATCCCGTGTCTCCCCCACGTGTCTCCCCGTGACTCCCCGTGTCTCCCCGTGTCTCCCCGTGTCTCCCCGTGTCTCCCCCACGTGTCTCCCCCACGTGTCTCCCCCACGTGTCTCCCCGTGTCTCCCCGTGTCTCCCCGTGTCTCCCCGTGTCTCCCCGTGTCTCCCCACGTGTACCAGGCTTGATCCCGTGTCTCCCCGTGTCTCCCCGTGTCTCCCCGTGTCTCCCCGTGTCTCCCCCGTGTCTCCCCCGTGTCTCCCCGTGTCTCCCCGTGTCTCCCCGTGTCTCCCCGTGTCTCCCCGTGTCTCCCCACGTGTCTCCCCGTGTCTCCCCGTGTCTCCCCGTGTCTCCCCGTGTCTCCCCACGTGTCTCCCCGTGTCTCCCCGTGTCTCCCCGTGTCTCCCCCCCGTGTCTCCCCGTGTCTCCCCCGTGTCTCCCCGTGTCTCCCCGTGTCTCCCCGTGTCTCCCCCACGTGTCTCCCCGTGTCTCCCCGTGTCTCCCCCACGTGTCTCCCCACGTGTACCAGGCTTGATCCCGTGTCTCCCCGTGTCTCCCCGTGTCTCCCCACGTGTCTCCCCGTGTCTCCCCGTGTCTCCCCGTGTCTCCCCGTGTCTCCCCACGTGTCTCCCCGTGTCTCCCCGTGTCTCCCCGTGTCTCCCCGTGTCTCCCCGTGTCTCCCCGTGTCTCCCCGTGTCTCCCCCACGTGTCTCCCCACGTGTACCAGGCTTGATCCCGTGTCTCCCCGTGTCTCCCCGTGTCTCCCCACGTGTCTCCCCGTGTCTCCCCGTGTCTCCCCGTGTCTCCCCGTGTCTCCCCACGTGTCTCCCCGTGTCTCCCCGTGTCTCCCCGTGTCTCCCCGTGTCTCCCCGTGTCTCCCCGTGTCTCCCCACGTGTCTCCCCGTGCCTCCCCGTGTCTCCCCGTGTCTCCCCGTGTCTCCCCGTGTCTCCCCGTGTCTCCCCGTGTCTCCCCGTGTCTCCCCGTGTCTCCCCGTGTCTCCCCGTGTCTCCCCGTGTCTCCCCGTGTCTCCCCGTGTCTCCCCGTGTCTCCCCGTGTCTCCACGTGTCTCCCCGTGTCTCCCCGTGTCTCCCCGTGTCTCCCCGTGTCTCCCCGTGTCTCCCCGTGTCTCCCCACGTGTCTCCCCCACGTGTCTCCCCGTGTCTCCCCACGTGTCTCCCCGTGCCTCCCCGTGTCTCCCCGTGTCTCCCCGTGTCTCCCCGTGTCTCCCCGTGTCTCCCCGTGTCTCCCCGTGTCTCTCCGTGTCTCCCCGTGTCTCCCCGTGTCTCCCCGTGTCTCCCCGTGTCTCCCCGTGTCTCCCCGTGTCTCCCCGTGTCTCCCCGTGTCTCCCCGTGTCTCCCCGTGTCTCCCCGTGTCTCCCCGTGTCTCCCCGTGTCTCCCCGTGTCTCCCCGTGTCTCCCCGTGTCTCCCCGTGTCTCCCCGTGTCTCCCCGTGTCTCCCCGTGTCTCCCCGTGTCTCCCCGTGTCTCCACGTGTCTCCCCCACGTGTCTCCCCCACGTGTCTCCCCACGTGTACCAGGCTTGATCCCGTGCTGTCGTGCCGCGGCTCTCTCCATGCTCTCCTTCACACAGTAGTACAGCTCCCGGCA